GCTGCGCAACCCGAAGGCGCTAAACGCCCGCATTTCTCGTGTTTGAATTTCCCCACTGGAAAAATTCTGCAAGATGAAGGGATTGTGCCGTCCCCGCAAACACAGACTGAACCCTGGTCCTTTCAGGATGTTTTCGCTCGTTTCTTAAACCCACGCGTAAAAAAAAAAAAGGAAAATAAAACCTTCGGTGCAACGAATGCACATTCCGGAGCGGAGTACCTGGAAGGATTATTTCTACTGTTCTCGCGGGTTTCCCCCCCCCCCCCCACCTGCGCAAACACGAGGACCGGGCGGCGCCTTGTTGTCTACAGACAGTGTGACAGTGTACCATGGCAATAATATGCGCGCACCCTTCAGATTTGTGGCATGGGGGAGCAGCAGAGCACCTTTTGTTGGTTCGGGGAATGCGACCCTGCCGGAGCGCCTGTGCCGGGTCCAGTCCGACTTTCCGTCAGCCTCCGTGGCTCCAGGGCTCATTACTGCGTTCTGCGCGGATGGCCACCCGCGGCATTGAATGACGAAGAAGCGGCGGCTACGGAGAATTTCGCGGGAGACACCGAGCTGCATGGAGACGTCGAGACTCGTTCTGGACATCGATCAGCTCATCAAGTGTCAGAAACCGGGACAATTGGTTCGGCCGAAACATTTTGGCACAACATTGCAAACTCCGGACGTTGGCCATTATAGACGACGCACTTTGTCGAAAGCATCGGGACCATTGTTCGCCCGTAATTAAGGTGTCTTCGGACGGCCCGCCCTTCTCTCTCCTTGAAGCTTGAGTTTGTACATTGTTACTTGCTCGGCTTTGTTAGGGAGAGGGTTTTCGACTGGTGTGGGCCGCGGGAGCGGCCTTCGAAGATGACACACACCAACTGACAGAGAAATGCGTCGTGTCAACAGTGGCGATTGGTTAGGTGCCACGGAGGGGCGGAGTCGGGTCCTACAAAAAGGGACTACGAGACGATACGAGGGAGTCGGAGAGATGGAGCGTTGAGATTGAGATGGTAGAAAGACGGAATGGAAAAGGAAGATAACGGTAGGAAGAGATAGCGATGAGAGGCCATGAGATGATGACAGGGGCAAGGACGGTACGAGGAGGAATGAAAGTTAGGGATGGGAAACGAGGAAGCGAGTGATTGCGGGTCGTTATGAAAGAAGATTAAGATGGAAATCACAGAGAGGCATGACGAAGACGACGAAGACACTGATGAATTGGACAGATCAGACCTCGACGCCAAGAAACCCTGAGCCCTGACTCGAACAGCCAGCTCCGAGGCCCCCGTGAACATGGACCTTTCGTGAAACGGACTTTATGCACCTTATTTAGGTTAGCTTTGCGGGAAGGGAGGTGGCATGTGGAGACATTGCGGGTTTTGGTAACTGATAACTTCATCGTGTTTGTGTCGTCATGCGTTTACTCTGTATCGTCGCACCATTGTATTGTCAAAGTTATTTCCCTTATGTATCCTGCATCGCACGTCGCGAGTGTGTAAATCATGTGTTATAATTTTGTGTAGTGGTTAATGTACGCGGCTATACGATGTTTGCAGTTAGTAATAAATTAAATGAATCAGTAAACAGAAACAGGTCGTAGCGTCTTACTTCCCGGCCCCAGCATGAATCCCTGTATGTGAGAAGTGATTGAGACACATAGCCAAGAGGGAACCGGATAGACAAAGGGTTGATTGGTCTTCCCTGTTTTTGGAAATCGGTGGCGTAGCGGGGGACGTCTCAAGGCGGACTAGAACATCTACGCTTCAAAGCATATCGATTAAGAAATGCATCTTCTGTAAGATGACGGGACACTACACGAAAGATTGCAGAAGAAGCATTAGTATGCAACAGAAGAAAGAAGCCTTGCAACGGGAACGAAGGTGCTTCAGATCCACAAGACCTCACCACACGGCGAAGATATGCCGCGCGAACAAACGCTGCAAAACATGCAAGGGAAGGCACGCGACATTCATGTGTCGACCACGTACACCTGCAGGAAAGTCAGCACAGCAGCAAAGCGGTGATGATGTTGAGCAAGTGCGTAAAAGTGCGCAACCTGACCGGTTAGACACCAGCAAGTCCGGCAACATGCACGCACAGCAGTCTGGTGAACACAAGTGCATACTACTGCAGACAGCCTTTTCGTGGATGGAGGGATAAGACAGCGGGTGCTACACACGGATTCTGCTGGACAGTGGGAGCCAGAGGACATTCACTCTCAAAAGATTGTCAAGAAAACTAGCGTGCAAGGTAAAAAGATCCCAAAGGATTACCGTAGGATTATTTGGAGGAGTAGAGATGGAACTAGACATGAAAGTCGACGAGGTCAGCACGAGAAAGGATCCCATCTCGGAGCCAGTCACGATTGAGGCACTGGAGATGGAAGTTATATCCTGTGGTGTGCTACCATTGCCACCGTTGACAATACACGAAAGAGCAAGATCGATGGGAATTTGTTCGGCTGATGACAACGAGAAGACTGAGAAAGAAAAAATATGGAAACTCCTATAATAATTGGAGCAGATTATTACTGGACTGTCGACACTGGTCGCATTTGCGAGATTCATCCAAATGTAATGGCAACAGAAACAATATTGGGATGGACGGTCCAAGGTCCTGTAGGACTTCATTGTGTGCCGATGAAATCATCGATGGTTATGGTACTCAAGGTCAGTACCAAGTCGGACACAACTGTGGACGAACTGCAGAGATTCTGGGACTTGGAAAACATGGGCATCAAGGAGAAACCAGCAACAAAGATGAGTGATGAACATGTGCTAGAGTACGTCCGACAAACAATGGAGTTCAAGGCAGGAAGATACCAAGTGCAACTACCATGGAAGGAAAACGTGACATTGGACAATAACAACACCATTGCAGAGAAGAGGCTTATCCAAGTGACCAAGAAATTATGCAAGGATAAAGATGAGCTCCTAGCCTACGACAAAGCTATTCGAGAGTACTTCGAGCAAAAAATAGCAGAAAATGTCGAAGAAGACGCTAGATCCGATATACAAAACAAATTGGTATACTACATGCAGCATCAAGCAGTAATTAAGAAGGACCGAACAACGACAAAAATACGGATCGTCTTTGACGCATCGTCAAGCCAGAATCCAGGTGAATCCTTGAATGACAACTTGGAGAAGGGGCCAAACCTAAACCCTGACATCACAAGCTTTCTGATGAACCTTCGACATCACAAGATTGCTATGTCAGCCGACGTGCAAAAAGCATTCTTGCAGATCAAGATACATGAAAATGACCGAGACGCACTGCGATTTATGTGGTGGGAAAGAATACCCAGCGAAGATATGCCAACCCTGAAGATAAAAACGTGGAGGACGACGAGGGTTACTTTCAGAACTACACCAAGTAGCTTCCTTCTAGCGGCCACGATTCATCGACATTTGGATAAATTCGAAGAAAAATATTCTGCAGTTGTGGCGCGACTCCGGAAAGGAATCCACGTCGATGACGTTTTACTAAGAGCCGACGAATACTCGACATCGACAAAGATATACAAAGAAGCACGAGATATTTTTCGCAATGCGGGAATGAATTTGAGAAAATAGATTTCAAACGACGCCGAACTAAGAAAACTATTTGATGAAGAAGGAGATGATCTGGATTGAGGGATAAGAAAAGAGGGACAAATCAAGCTTTTGGGACTGAAACTGAATTTCGTAGACGACGTATTGAGCTTTAAGACATTCATGGCAAAAACTATAGGTGCTCGACTTTTGGATGAAGAAGAACTACGGACTGTGGTTGTTGAACCAGAAGGAGTAATTAATAACTGGCCTCTTATGTGTATGACGATCCTAACGAGCCACAACCCATCAGACCGGCGGACGTTATAGGAGGCAGGCAAGCAATGAACAAGCAGGAAGAAAACATACTCGGAGAATACAGTTTGCTGAATTACTGGAGGGCAAGAAAACAAGCAATGATAATATGGTGGACCAGATGGAAAAAGGAGTACCCGAGGGAGCTTAAGTGTGCCAGCATAAAAATAGAGGGCCACACAAATAAACAAGAAGGAGATGTACTTCTGCTTGGAGAAGCACGAAAAAGAACACGGTGGAAACTCTGCAAGGTCGAAAAGATTTCCCAGGCAAGGATGGACTAGTGAGAACATGCTTGCTCATACACCTGAAGGCAAATTAGTCAAGAGGCCGATTCAACTGTTGTATTCGCTCGTAGGTTACTTCGGTTGAATCTGGCTGGCGGGAAGATGTAGAAAACAGATTGAAGATGGAGCTCGGAGGCGAGGAAGAAGAAGTAGCCAGGGGCACGCTCTGCATATTTTTTTTTATTCCTGTTCTGTTAACAATAAACCGAAGATGTATCGGTCCTGCTGTCTCTCTGGTCCTTCTGAAACATCCTTCTTTGTGTTTAACAAGTGACAGTTGTTCGTTAGCGTTCAACCCGTGCAGTGTTATTTTCGTGCGTCCTTTGTGCTTAAGTAGAGCCTGCATGTACAGAGTTGCTTGCTGTTGTCTGTGTAACACTGTTGCTATACCCATGGTCTTTCAGTACTTTTTCTGGTCATGAAACTTCCACGTCCCTCAATGGGAGAGCTTCATATACTGCCCGCACTTTCTGCGGCGCTGGGGTAGTTATTAGGGGGACGAGGAAGCCGGCTGTTCTGCTGGCCGCCATTAGCAGACTGTTGGCGTGGAGTGGTGGTGGTCGCTCTGATCACCCTCCTTTTTTGCTTTTCGGGGTCGCATGGTGTTGACAGCGATGCCCAGCACTGGCTCGTCACAATTTCACAATTTGTAAGCTTACCTTCTGCATTCATTTGGCCACCCAAATGATGCATCAGCAGGCTGGGAATAGGACGTCCATTAAAAAAAAAAAAGTGAAGAAGGGGAAGTGGGTGGAGTTCACACAGAAAGTTTGGGAATCGCGGGAGTTTGCAGAAGTGCTGACTCGGTTAAAGCACAATAATGTAACATTATTAAACTCCCACTGTGTGTGGGATATGTGTAGTGAAGAAGTTTGCAGCTCTTCAACTTGGTTTTATTGTGCATGGCATTATTGCGTTCCATTCCTATTTCAATGTGGCCCAAAGCAGCTGGGGATAGTGCACAGCTGGGCAGCTGACCTCCGCTGAAAACAAGAAAGCTGGAAAAATATTATGTGCAGTAAGCAATTCTAGCTCTTGGGCATTCTATGGAGTCTTTGGCAGCACTGAAGAACACACGAACTAATGACAAAGCTAGATCCAGAAAACGGCAGCAGGAACAGGAAGATACAAGCTTGCAATGAAAAAAATCTGAGTTTTGTGTGCCAGAGCAGACAATTTCACAAGTGAACTTGTCTTCAAGGCCAGAACCTTCCGGTTACAGCCTTCAAGAGGATGGTCAAAATGTTGGTTCAAGCATACAATCCCTGCTTACTGATCTTTACATCTGGCAACACTACATGTCTAATAATGCTATCAGTTGTCCGCATGTGTGTGTGAGAATAAGCTATAGAGCTACGTATCTAATAACCACTGCAAAACCAAGGAATAAAAGGGACTGACTTAATTCAAATGTGGCATTTACATTATAATAAGTATGAAATTTCTTCTGCAAGGTGACATCACCTTCTGTGTTTGTAATATTTGTCAAGTCTATCGACAATCATGAGGATTGGCTAACGAATTTGAGTGCAGCAACAATGTTACAGAAACACAAATGGACAGCATAGTGTTAAAAAACAGTTTATACAAGTGAGGCTTGTGCTGAATGACTCGAATGCAATGGCATGAAACAATGACTGGTCACAGCCACGTTTAAATGTCATGAAACCATACCTACCGTGCCACTGACTCACAAGAGCAATGAAGAGAAGGGGGCAGCAAATCGAAAGCTTTGTGACACTTGCATACAAACTGAGTGGGGAAAGTTGTTGGCATCACTACCCCCACAAGCTTCGGTTTGTCATATTACCAACTTTGGCAACCATCATGCAATTATAATGCATCACTTTCTTTTATATGCCAAAAGGCATGCATGAGAAGATACTGCAGTGAACATGTAGGCTAAGAATCAAGGAGAAAGCTACACAAGGAACTGCTTTGCACCAAGAATTACCAGCTCTACAAGAGCTATAGCTTAACACCTTGGCAGGAAATGTAATAGAAACAAACAAATGGCTACAGTATTTGACAAATGCTACGGAAAGTACAAAACGAATCGAAACGAGACAGTCACGGTTACATGGGCCAGAGCGCACGCTCTCTGAAAGTTGGTCACCTGGCATCACCTGGGAAGCACTAGGAGAAATGCTTTCCATCACGAAGGCCAATCACATCAGCCCTCCCCTTCTCCCGTCAAACAGTGTGCAACCAACCTGGATGCATAAGATACCCACCACAAAGAAGTACTCTGGCAGACGATAGGATAAAGACCCCAAAAAAAACACAGCTGCAAAGGTGGACACATGGGAAGGGTATAATAACAAGAGGTAGGCAACATACAACTGAACGTGGTGAATAAGACATTCAAATTACTAGGCCGCCAATAAAGTGGACAACACATAATTAGAACAAGGTCACCGTGATATACACGGCAGAGCACACATCGTGGCCAGACTGCTGCAAGCTGGCTATCCAAAGGCATCCCTTGCACATTAATAACAGTTTTGCATCCTGCAACAAGCCATCATCTCCTGCTGGCTTGGCAACAACGGTCCCGACGATGTCTTCGGTAGCTATGTACCCACCTGCAATGCAATAAGAACAATTGACGATTGATATGTGGGGTTTAACGTCTTAAAACTACCATATGACTATGAGATAAGTCGTATTGGAGGGCACCAGAAATTTCGACCACTTGGGGTTCTTTAATGTGCACCCAAATCTGAGCACACGGGCCTACAGCATTTTTGCCTCCATCGAAAATGCAGCTGCCGCAGCCGGGACAAGAAGAACGAAGCCCCCCCCCCACCCCATTCGCTTTTAGAATCATTTAACAATGTTGTGGATAAGCATGTTTCACGAATACATTTTCTTATTGTGTGGCACATTATATATTAGTCGGATGAGTCATTGCATCACTTGCATGTAAGAAGGGCAACAGTTAAAGGCAATATTCCTTTGTGGTGTTGCTGTGTAGCACGAACCTACAGCGATGTAGCCATGAGAATTTTTAAAAATGGTGCCGTAATAGCATAGCTATACCAATTGCAGATCGAAATGTAGTTCTTGCTAGTTTCCCTCTTTGATGTGTTCTGTTCAACAGCTCGTATCTCCTCCTTATCAAACAAGAGTCTAGAGCACGCTATCACACCGACAGGTTTTTGTGAGATCATTTTACACCACTGGTATGAGCTGGTTGACTGATACCGAAGGCCTGGAGAGAACTGCCATTTTAAATTACTTAATGCTCACAGCAAGAAGCACTGCCACACTTGATGTTTTGATTGTGGCTGTGTTCTCACCTCAAAGCAGACATTTACTTGAAATAATGAATGGGTACTGCAACACTTTGAGCATGGTCAGAAAACGCTGCCGATTGGTAGTCGCCCAGGTGAAAATGTGTAACTGACTATCTAAATGGTTTCAATGGGCATTAACTGGGAATAAACTGAGAACAGTTGGTCCCAGAAGCAAGTGGTTCCGGTTACAGCTAAACCGATTTCAGCTGGGAATCAATGGGAACAATTTGACCCAGTTGCAAGTTGTTCCAGTAAGTAGCTCGCCCCAGTTACAGCTCAACTGGCCGCCGACGTGGACCATGACCAGTTGAACTGGAAGCTGTTAGTCACAGTTATGTTCTAACTAGAAGTGCGACATGTTCTGGTTGTACGCTTCTTCACAAAGAAAGATGTATGAAGAAGAAAACGCATCGTTGGCAAGCAACATCGCTGGCACCTGCTTGACCGTTGCTCTGTCCCGATCGTGTCTTCGTAGGGCCACCATCGCAACACACGCCAATAAACCCCTTTTCAATTGGTGGAGGGTGCTGACATTCGCCGTCACCTGAACCTGGGTGCTGCCATTCGCCGTCGCCTAAACCTGGAGTTGCGGAACTGAACGCTATTTCCCATCATGGCCACCAACAACGCGCAACGTGGCTCTTCTATTCCATCATCCAGCAACCCCGACGTTCTTCGCTAGCGAGAGCCCAAGGTCTTTAGCAGAGCTGATGAGACCGACGTGAAAGACTGTTTCACTAACTAAGAACTGATGAGCCCAAACAAGTAGGATGATGCGGACAAGTCGACAAACCTCATCTTTTACCTCGCTGACGTAGCCGAAATGTGGTATAAAAACCACAAAAACGACATTACGACGTGGTCCATCTTCGAAACATCGTTTGCCGACGTTTTTGGCCGACCCGCTGTCCGCAAGTCCAGAGCCGAACAACGCTTGCGGACTCGCGCACAGAAGCCAGCGGAATCGTTCACCAGTTACATCGAGAAGACCTTAGTGGACTTTGCAACCATGTGAACACCACCATGCCCGAGTCGGAGAAGATTCAGCACATCCTCGAAGGGATAAATGACGGCGCATTTCAGATGCTCCTGGCTCGTAATTCTTCCACCGTTGCGGATCTTGTCACTTTATGTAAAGTTTAGATGAGAAAGCAGCGTGCCCTGACTCGGCCATTTTCCTCACACACCGACTCGCTCTCCGGTCTTACTTCTGTTCCCGATCACTTGCCAACCCTGCAAGCGATTAAAGACTGTGCATGAAGAAGTAGCTCGCCAACTGTTGTTGATTCCCTTCACGCAGCAGCCGCCGTTCTCTATTCTGCCCTCACCACTCCGCGACGTTATTGCCGAAGAGGTAGCTCAGGCTGTTCCCGTCGCTGGCCACCAGCAGCCTGTGGCTGCGCCTCTTACGTATGCCCAGGTGGTATGCAGCAGATCCCGCCAGCAGCATTTGCCACCCATGTCTTCAGTTGCTCCCCACTTTGCCCCTTTTTCGACACCTTGGGTCGCACTGCAAATCAGCAATTCCTGACGCACTCCTGACAACCGACTGATCTGCTACGCCTGCGGTACTCCAGGACACGTGGCACGATATTGTCGCCGTCACTTCCAACCACCCCACAACGCTACTCGGCCGCTACCATCACAGCCCATGCACCTACCTGCTCCCTATCCCTCACTGTAGTATGGCTGCACTACCGTTCCCGAGTCTCACCCTCGTATTCACAATCGCACCTTGACTCGACTTTCACCCTTCACTTGACAGAGTTGAGCACTGCGCCGCTGCTCGGCTGAAAATGACACTGGGCTACTCAAGAACCGCAGCAGATTACCGCTGATAGACAGCACCTTGCTCTGCCTAGAGATGGCACTGCCATCGGCTTTCTCAAGTGAAGGTGAAGCGTTGAGTGAAGGAACGTTCTTGAATACGAGGGTCAGTCACCCAAGCCCCAATTTCAGACTCACTCTCCCCGCTCCCCGTCTTCTCGCAGGCGATCAATGCGTCCTCGACCAGCTTCCTCCAACCGGAAAACTGAACGCCGCAGTTCCAGAGGCAAGAACTGCGCCGTCGTCAAAATGCTCAAGTCCTCACACTTCACGTGCTAACGTCGTCGCCATATCTGTCGATAATGTTTCTACCTTTGCCCTCGTCGACAGAGGTGCTGCCGTTTCTGTTATAGCCGCCCAACTCTGCCGCTCCCTACGAAAAGTGACCACGTTGCTCCCTGGACTATCGCTTTGTACTGCTAGCGCACAACCAGTTCGACCTCTCGGCACTTGTACGGCCTGCATATTCATCCAAGGCTCTATGTACGTTGTCAAGTTTATCGTCCTTTCGGTGTGCTCGCTTGACGTTATCCTCGGGTGGGACTTTCTGTCACATCGTCATGCGGTCATCGACTGCGCACGAGCTGGAGTTCAATTTTCGCACCTGTGTGACGAACCTTTGCACGAAACTCTTGAGCGGTCCCCAAAACTCGTCGTGCGTGAAGACACTGAAATTCCGCCAGCCTTTCTTGCCGTTGTACCTGTTTGCTGCGAAGACCATAACGATGCTACGATAATGTTTACACCTTCCGTCATTTTTTATGAGCCGCAGAGCCGTTTCCTTGCCTTTCGCTACACTTGTCGCCACTGCTGGCCGAAGCAATATTTTCGTCCACAACACCCTGTCTGCACCGCTTACGCTACTTGCCGGCGAATGTCTCGGTCGAGTAGAGTACCTCGATTCTTCTTTACTTCTTAACATGCCAGACGAATCATGCAGTAGCGCCTCGACCGAACTTCATGCCCTTTCCCCCCTGGAATGCTCGTCAAGTGACATCTTCTCGAGTTCTATCGCCGACACCTTAAGTGCTCAAGAACGCGCCGAGCTTCTTAATCTCCTCCAGCACTTCGCGAATTCATTTAAAATTTCTCAGCCGCGATTGGGTTGCACGTCCGCAGTGCACCACTACATTGACACCGGTTCGCACCAGCCATTGCGTCAAAGACCGTACCTTGTCTTTGCTGCAGAACGTCACGTCATCAATGACCAGGTCGAAGAAATGCTACGCCGTCGCGTTATTCAACCATTGCACAGTCCTTGGGCATCTCCTGTCGTTCTAGTTCGAAAGAAGGATGGATCAATTTGATTTTGTGTCGACTACCGGCGATTAAACAAGGTGACGCGGAAAGACGTCTATCCATTATCGCGCATCGACGATGCCCTTGACAGCCTCCAAGGAGTTGAACTCTTCTTTCCCTTAGACTTGCGATCTGGATACTGGCAGGTTCCTATGGCAGAAGCTGATCGCCAGAAAACTGCGTTCATTACACCAGATGGCCTGTACAAATTTAACGTAATGCTTTTTGGGGCTTTGTAATGCTCCTGCCACGTTTGAACGACTCATGAACAACACACTGTGTGGACTGAAGTGGTCTGTGTGCGTATGCTACCTCGACGACATTGTCCTTTTCTCTCCCGATTTTCCTATGCATCTGCTTCGGCTCCAACTGGTACTGACGTGTTTAACCAACGCTGGGCTCCAACTAAACCTTAAAAAGTGCCGCTTCGCCGCGCTAGAGCTATCCATCTTAGGGCACATTGTGTCCAAGAATGGTGTTCTACCCAACCCTGCAAAACTGCGAGCAGTCGCTGAGTTCTTGAAACCTACTACACTAAAAGAATTACGTAGTTTCGTTGGACTATGCTCGTACTTTCAGCGCTTCGTTCAAAATTTTGTGTCGATCATGTCACCACTGACCAACTTCCTACGCGGTGACGCAGACCTTTCACCCTAGTCTCCTGACTGCGACGTCGCGTTTGCCACGCTCCGTAGTCTGCTAACATCTCCTCCCATTCTTCGTCATTTCGACCCAACAGCTGTAACGGAATTTCACACAGACGCTAGCGGGGTCGGTCTTGGCACTGTCCTCGCCCAACGCAAGCCGGGCTACTCTGAGTACGTTGCCCCTTATGCGAGTCGCACGCTCAACTAAAGCTGAAGCCAATTACTACGTCACTGAAAAGGCGTGCTGAACGCTAGTGTGGGCGCTTCGCAAGTTCCGCCCTTATGTGTACGGTCGGCCATTCGAACTGGTAACGGACCACCATGCACTTTGTTGGCTCGCCACATTGAAAGATCCTTCTAGTCGCCTAGCTCGGTGGGCACTGCAAATTCAGAAGTACAACATTTGCGTCATCTATCGCAGCGGACGCAAGCATTCTGACGCAGACGCCCTGTCCCGTTCCTCTTTACCTCCCGACTCGGCCTGCGGAACCACTGGTACCAACTCCGTCGCAT